CTGCTGAGGACAATACAGCCAGTCATGTTTCTGTGTAAGATCCCTTGCTTTTTCATGGTTAATCAGTTTCGCTCTAGATTTGTGCTCAGTCAACAGCAAATATTTTCATGCATCCTTTTCATAGTGCACTGACGTAAAGTAGCTTTCAGAAAAAGTTGAAAGAAAATGTCATTTATACAAAGATACATGAAAAAGTCCAGCGGGTACTCTGGATTGTAAGCACACAGCATGTCAGCTATTACACATATTTTGTAACCTCTGGAGAACAAGGTCAAGCAACATTAGACAGAATGCTAGCATGTATTGATCTTCAGACCGTCTCATACCAGATGGTATACTGACATGCCTCTTCTGTAGTGTCATTGCCTCTGACAGGAGAGTCAGAGGTCTGACTGTTACTGCAAGGGTCTGTGAGTCCACCCTTCTACTGCAAGGTGACTTATCCCTTGGTGCCCTCCCCTCACAAATCACCCTTTCTGGAACTTCAGTCTCCCTGTTCTCCTACATCAAGTCTTAGCAGAGTTCATTGACAGCCCTCTTAGATCCCACCCTAGTGCTAAAATAGATGCATTCTTTCTTTAGAAGGGTATGGTCAACAGTCCCAGAAATGCTCAAGCACCTGCCATGGGGAACACAGTACTGAAAGAAATAGTGAGGTGAATTGTGAGCTGATGCAGGAGGAAAGAAGCCGCTGTATAGTGAATGTCCTGGCTCCCAAATCCACAGCTCCAGTGTTTTGCCTTCGCTAAATCTGCTCTAGTGTCTTTTTGCAGTTTGCTATATCTCATGAGAGATAGGTGCAACCCTTGCTTTCCTATCGGCTTGCCACTGAATTGGATTGTCCTTTCTCTTAACTTCCTGTTAGTTGTCAGAGAACATGCATCTAGGCTTTACTGCTTGCCTGCATAAGTTGTTCTCAGATGCTCAAAAGTTTGATGAGGAAATGCAACAATCCAGCCTTTTCAGACCTTTCCTTTGCACTTACAGGTACAATGTGAGGTTGCAAAATTTCTTCAGCCTTAAAAGCAAGAATGTTGGAAATGGTGACACAGTCAACAATGAGCTGGAAGATGGTAATAAATGTTATGCCTCTAGTTGTGATGACCCATCCATTCCATTACTATGGAAAGGTAAGGCTGAGCAGACAGGACTTGGAAAAAGACTAGTTCACAGGATATCCTTTTTATTTCTTTAGTGCAGATCAAAACAGTGTTACTATTGAATCATAAGCAGAAATTTTTATTGGGTTAACTTGATAATTCAGCAGTCAGACTGCCAGATGAAAAAAACTCAAATCAAATTTTTTTTTTTTATATTCTGGAAACAGGCTGCTTTGCACATTGGCAATTTTCCTCCCTTTTTATCTCCTGTTCAGTGATGAGCTACAACACTGTGAAAGAAATATTTTTTTTTGCCAGGAAGAAGGTAATTTTCACTTCAAAAATTAGTTTGGAAGTAGAAGTTGAGACTTGGGTGTTAAAGGAAAGGACATGGGCAGATCAGTGGGCAGGAGGGATTATGTGTTGAGTTCAGGTCCTCAGAAGACTGGCTTTCAAATGCCTAAATAGTCTGCATACGTTGCCAAGCACATATGTAAAATTGAGAAATGCAGGTTCTTTGCTGTCTGTGTCTTTGTCATAAAGGGAAAGAAGATGATACCCAGCTTCTGGTACTGAAGGTAAGCAGACATACCTGGGTATTTTCGGCTTTTTTTTAAGCCTGTTTTTATAATTGTCTTATCCCTCTTCTCTTCCGTTTCCTCTTTTCTCTGCAGAGCAAAATCACTCCTACCTTCAAAGCACAAACGATATAATTTAGTGAGCTCTTGGGCTACTCTTAACAAGTGAGGTCTCTTTGCTTTGTTCTTTGCAAACATCTCCCATTCTAGGAGACTGAGCTCAGCAGCAATGTAGGTAGCATTTGGAAAGGTCCTCATGTAATAACAAATAGTGGCAAACAGGAATTTAGAGCAGACTCAGAGAATCCCACTCTTTTCTGCTTTTAGTGTTTAGGCTGGGATCTTTTCAAGGTAGGTACTGTCACTACAGGTTTATGCAATGACAGCGCGCTGATACTCTGGTCTCAGATATGGTGCTTAGACAATAGTTCAATAGAGATTTTAAATTACTTCTCATAGGACATTGTAGCATAATTAAATTAAGATGCCTTTGGAATATTTTGATCTCGTTTTACAATGAATTTTTGTGAATATTGACTATGATACAGTGAAGTCTGTCACTTGGATGTGGAGGTGCATACATACAAGGTTCAGAGGATACCTCCTAGGGCAGTTGTTACTTATGCATTCAACTGGGGACACAGGAAAAGGGTGATCCAGTGAAAGAACACAGATATTAGTGGTTTTTACTTCTGAGGCATTTGTTGGGTTCTGATGTCATCTCCCTGCATGCTCTCCTCTCTAGCCACTGTGTGGTAAAGGGATGATAGCACAGAGTGCTTGGCTGTCCACTTATTTCCTTTTCAGGAAATGTGACGATTATTTAATGCTTGTGAAGAACATGCAGAACTTTTAGGAAAAGGAGCAAGAAAGCTAATAAAAACTTGGACTCATGAGAATGGTGTCTCCACCAGCAACTGTCCACAGCAGATTTCTTTTCTAATTTCCCTCAAAGATGCACTGAGACTGCACTTTCAGTCAGATTCCCTTTGCCTTCTCCAGCACCCATTACACAAATACATGCTGCATTGGAGGGACCATTGTTCAAAGTGTGAGAGTGTAGATATTATCACAGGCAAACCTACCTGGGGTGAGAGAGGACACAAAGAAGAGATTAAGGAGGTGACAAGGTTTGGAGTGAGCGTGGAGAGGAGGCTGGCAGTGTTAGCCTAGCTGCTTTGTAGACGGGTGCTTTATGTGTCCAGAAGCTGTCCTAGAAAACCATCACATGGCTGCCTGTTGCATCTCCCTCCTGTTGAGTCAAAATATGCCATGACCTATCAGTGACTCGCTGTTAGTTGACACTTGGCTGGCTGCACAAGCTGAGCTGTGCCTTCCCCAGCAGCAGCTTTCAGAAAGAAGAGCACTCCTAACAGCAGGGAGAGAACTAGACCTGGCCTCTGCCTTACCTCCAGCCAGTAGTTAGCAACTTTCAGGATCCACCGAAAAACCTCCCTTGGCTTCATCAAGGTGTAGGTCTAACCTTAATTTGATTTTCCACAGGAGGAAAGTCTGATTACTTCCCAAAAAAAGAACATTTGCTTCGGGTGAGGAACTTTCTTCCTACCAAGGATGGTTAGTCTGTTGCTCAAGGTGCAGATAAAAGTGGGGTTCACATGCGGCACAGCTCTCTTTTATGCTTCTAAGTTTTATTACTTTCAAGAGCTTCCAATGGTACAATATAAAAGCTTCCATTACTCAAGTTTCAGAGAGAAAAAGGAGTGCTTTTCACCATAAGATGAATTCAGTTTCAAGGGCAAGTTCTACACACACAGGTAAAGGCAAAATATTGGTGCTTTGTGAATAATGCTCCTATTTTAAAGGTAGAAAAATGTGGCTCACTGCCCTTAGCTTTTATTATGTCGACCCAAATTTCCACCAGGTGGCATGGTTCGATTCCTACCTAAAACCAGAAACTCTTGAAAAAAGTGGGTTTCTGAGGGCCTGATCAGGAGTCAACTAAAGTCAGCAAGAAGCTTTCTGTTGATTTTGACAGGGTTGTTGGTGATGACCCTTTGTGGTGAGCAGGAAGTTTAGGTAGTTTGTTAAAAGGAAAAGCTGTTCTCAGAAGATATTTTTCTAAGGAATATCACAAAGGAGAAGTGAAAAAGGCTTTTCTCTGTCTCACACTTGTGAAAACCACTTTTGCAATTTTTAGGTGGAGCCAGTTTGTACCATATGGGGCCAATGTATGTATGTTTATGGGCATAGGGAGTGAGACTGAAGAGCTGTTACGAAAATGTAAGAGCAATGTGCTGCAGTAAGTTAAAACAGCTGCAGTTAGTTATATGTATATTTATAGTGATGTATTCTACATCCGTGCTGAGATTTTTATCATGGTATTTCATCAAAGCTGAGTATGTTTCGTCACTGTCTCCTTAGTGCTCTAAGAAACAGTTCCAGAGTAACTGCAATGCTTCCATGTTTTTCATGACGCTGTAAGATAAAGAAGCACTTTGGAGACTTCACTGGAGAAACTCACTTGAGAGCAGTTAATCTGATGAGACTGTTAAAGAGATATCTGGCCTTTTTGCCTTACCAGGATTGCTGTCAAATATTTCTTTTTCTTCGTCTGACTAAAGCAAATGTTAAGCTATTGTGGTTAAGTCCTCTTCTGTCAAGATTGGTGCCTAGGTATCTTCTGTGAGGATTGGTTCCTAGGAAGCTTGTCTGGCTATATATTCCTTCACAGAAAAGCTGCTACACTCTAACTGTAAGAGTCATTGGAACAGACGTGCTCCTTATTTGCATTATCAGCTGCAGTACTCAGCAAGGTTAATTTGTTTTAGATGTTGGGGCGGGGGGAGGATATTTGCTCCTTTATGTTTACCAAATGCAAAATTACTGCCAGTTCTATTCTCCACTAGAGACGTTAAGCTGCAAGACAAGACTACGGAGTGGATTCTTTGAGTAGGGCATATTTCTTTGTGAAACCAAAGATCTCTTTATGACACTTCAGGTGACCTCAGTGTATTCATTGAAAACTCATTTTAGTGAAACAAAGCAAGACATTCAAATGCTAAAGGGTAAAAGATACAGCTGTTTACTGGTGATTTACAGGCTTCCTAGGTTTCGCTTGTTGAATGGTAATGGAAAGATATACTTATTAAACTTCAAATATGTTAGAAGATGCTTAAGACAGCAAAGCCTTTATTGCATGATGTGATTTACATGCATGCATGGATCCAGTCTTCTTCCTGAAAAACAAAAATATTTCAACACTGTAACAATGCAAAAAAAAAAACCAATACAGATTTCTGTGTTTAGAACAGGTTCATTTTAATTCCTTTGTTTGAGTTGAATGTTTTCTTAGATTTCCTTTGCTTCCTGACTGGCACCATGCACTAATAATTATCTTTCACTTCTACCTCCTAAATTCTCTTCCTCTTCTTAATGTAAGTAACAATGCAAAAGGGGAGTGGGAGGGTGAAGCCAAGCTAAGCAAAGCAGAACACAAGCAGCAAAGAATTTTGTTGGTTTTTTTTCCGTACATATTATTACATGTAATAATTAATATTTATTACCGTCACATACATATTTCCTGCCCTGCTTTCTAACACCACATGGGTATGTCTCCTGTCTGCTGAGCCTTGCTCTGCTTGCTATGTGTAGTCTGTAGCATTTGTGAGAATATTGGGTTTGTTGTTGAGCTCTAAAAGTCCTTGCCTGTACTTGTGTTGATTCTCAATATAATTTTGTCTCTCTGTTTGTGTTCTTAACACAGTAGAACAAAACTCTTAACCTTGATGCAAGTTCCTTTGTATGAACAAAGGCTTACTTATAACATACATTTGTTCTTGACAATTGTTGTTTTTCATCGTTTCAAATCTTGTCACGTTAGAGATACTGATAATATTCTGTGAAGGTAAAGTGAAGATTTCCAAAAGGAGTGAGCACGACATTAGGGACTTCTGAATGTGCAGCACCTTGATCCAGTGGGATAGCTTCAGAGGTTTCAGGAGCGCTGTCTACACGGCCACAGTGCAAGTGCTTTTAGAGAAGGCTTACGAAATCATAGTGGGACATAAGCGATGAAAACTGGTACTACAGCATGAATGGCTGGGTAAAAACTGCTCCCGCTCACCTGAGAGTGGGGTGGTGGCCACCTTAGCAGAGTGAAATCCCTTTTCAGCATGTGATCTAAACGAAGTACACAACTAATGAACAGATTCACCAGGCTGCAGAAATATTACAGGAAATTCATTTGTAAATTCAAGCATTCACATGAATATTACCCCGACCTGAGCCTGAAAAGAATGACTCATGGGAAACATGGTAAGATCAGTTCCACAACTAACTCTGTCCATTGTGATCATTAGTGAAGGGGATACAGCAGTATGGCAAAAACAGTGTTGTGATGGTGGATGAGATCATCTGCTCCAGTCCCCCCAAATACCGGTTCCCTGAAGCTGGATTACGGATTATGATTACAAACAAGTTTGGACCACGCACCAGAATGCGGATGGCAAGCCGACTCATCATTAATGAGGTAGGTTCATTAAGAAAACAGTAAATGACTATGTGGCAGAGGGGTTGCCAAAGAGCCGTGCTCATAGTGATTCTGAAATTCAGATTCTTCCATGTTCCTAGGGATAGGCTAGAGCTATGTCACAGCAGATTTGAAGATGGATTCCCAGTTGGTGATGCTGCCTGTCTTAATGGGAGGGCAGTCACCAAGGAGGGACTCCCTTGTCTCCCTACCAGAAAATGTGGATAGTCTTTTTAGCAAGGCCTGCTGCGACAGGACAAGGGATAATGGTTTTAAACTAAAAGAGGGTAGATTTAGACTAGATGTAAAGAAGAAAGTTTTCACTATGAGGGTGGTGACCCAGAGAGGTGGTAGATGCCCCATCCTTGCAAACATTCAAGGACAGGATGGATGGGGCTCTGAGCAACCTGATCTAGTTGTAGATGTCCCTGCCAATTGCAGGGGAGATGGACTAGGTGACCTTTAAAAGTCCCTTCCATCCCAAAGCATTCTGTGATTCTATGTTTGTTTCAGTGTGTGTATGTGTGCACATTTGGATTTTATCTGCAGCAGAAGAATTGGGTTTGATCATTACAAAAGTGGTCAGGCTAAGAAAGGATAATGGGCAGAGCAACCAAAAATCTCTAAGAACTGCTCTTATATTAGCAGCACATCAGGATCACATCAGATATTTGCCTACCTCTTTAGTCTTCAGTGTAGTCCTCAGCTCAAAATGAAAGTGGACCAAAATATTTTCATGACAGGAATTTGCCCTGAACAGTTTCAGTTAACTCTTACTTGATATATTGTCACCACCATATATTGCTTATTTCATACCCTGCAGCTGAAGTGACAGGACTGGCCAAGCTTGTATGAAGTACTTGGGGTGAAATCTTTGGCCTGCCAACCTTAGCTTCTATGAAGGCAGGATTTTATCCTTTGCTCCCTACAGTGTCAAATATGAGAGGTTTTTACTCTGGCAAATAAATTAATTTCAGTAGTTTAGGAAATACAAGCTTTAGCAAGATCCTGGAATTTGAACGTCTAACAGAGTTCATGTGTGTACTGAGCATTGTGAATACCCCAATGAAAGAAAGCAGCACTCATATATTTGTAACAAAAGTCCAATTTAACAGTAAAACTGTGAAATGTTCATTAGGAAGTCAGCTTGGTGATGTACAGTCAAGAGCAGAAGATCAGATAGGGCACGCAGCAGCAGTTGACTCTGTAAAAGTTCTGCTTTGAAGGCAATTCATTGATTAGAAAAAATTTCTTTCTTAATGGATATGTGCACAGAGAGCTGATACTTGCTACTTCAACATTTGCAAAAAACATTCTCTAAACCAGAGGATTTTGGATCTATGTTCTTATGTATTCTCACTGCCAAAGTTTTGCAAAGTATTCAGATATGAGTGTTCTCTATTTCTAACTACAGAGTGTTAATACCCGTTTCAGAACTTTTTTGCATGTTGTGCAGTTACTTTATTTTTCCGGGCATTTCAGAGCACTTTTTAGGAAATTGCAACAATTTGTCATGAAAAATAGAACATTTATCAGCCCTGCATTTTCTCATCTAACAAACTAAAAATATTTCTTTATTTATAAAAGTAGGAAATTACTGTTACATCTCACATTCTCCAGTGTATTAATGGGCATATGTAACGACGTTTAAAACCTATCCCTGTAATTGTTGTACTGAGTATTGGAACTGTAGCAGTCTTATACATGTCTGCAGGGGCAATTATGAGCTTCATGAAAGTATATACTCGAACAAGAGCAATAGGGGCTAGTCTTGCTTTTGAAGTTATAAGTAGGACCTTTAGATTTACCGCAAGGCATGGGGATGAGAAGGAGGGAGAAGAGTTGGACCTGAGTAGGAGAGATCCTGGGTAATGAGTCATTCATAAGCCAACTCTAATAGCGCAGAAATGTCTTGACTGTTACCACTAGATTATGGTGCTGTTGCTGGTTAGAGTGGGAACTGCTGAATGAGAAGTGCTTCAGAATAACCACACTCAGTAAAACATGGTAAAGAACAGATATGACAACTTTCTCCATCATGGCCTGAAAGACTCCTGCCAGTATTTTTGAGGTGGATGGTCAACACTGGCCTGATGAAGACAGGTAGGCTACAGACAGATTTGTTTGTTGCTGAAAGGAAGGCTTCATGGAGAAACATCACGGCTCACATGAATGGGGCTGGACAGACAGCAAAATCCAGATTTAACAAAGTCAATATTTTCCAAACTATGGCAGTTTTGTCTTTGACACTGCAGCGTCAGCGGTTAATCCAGTCTGCCAATGGCTCAAGCAAACCACTTCAGAATGGGAGACGTGACAATATTGAAAATGGGAACATCCCTGTGGTGAACCAAGAGGAGGAAAATGAACAGGACAATCTATCTCCCTTTTCATTGCCAGGTAAGGCTTACTTTCCAGGTCTTTATAGTAAGGAAACAGAAGATAATTAAAATGCCAGACACTGGGTTATAAGAAAAGACAGCATATGTGGGGAGAGAGGAGGACAGGGATTGATTTGACTGTTTGAAGGCTGGATTTCATGACAGTAAAACTTGGCTGGAGGCTACCTGGCTAAAAGCAGATCTTAGGAAAGTGTTTTCCAGCCATCATGCACAATAACAGTAGAAGTGCTGGTTTGCCAGAGGCGAAGGGAAAGCAGGTAAGGCAGGTTTATATTAAAAAACATGTCAGACCAACCTGATGAGCACTGCACTGCTAGTAATTTTGAAGTCAACAGTTAATAATGGCCTGCTGGAGATTGCTAGGCCAGAGGCAGCTAAGTGTATAAATATATAATAACTTGATTTAGTGACTGTAGGGGAGGCTTCTTGGGTGAAGAGGAAGAAAGGTTTACGGGGAGAAAGATTGTTTAATATCTTTGACAGTGTTTAAAATTCTTAGAATAGCAATATGTAATAATATTCACCTTTTGAAATTTTTTGGAAACTCTGGTGTGAAGGGCTATATATAACCAACCTTATTATGTTGGTGCCCTCAGCACATTGCAGGCTGACTCTGCCCCAAATGATCTGGAGATTAGACAGCAGAGATTAGATCACCCCTCACAGACATGTAGTCAGTAGTCCTGTGTCACACAGTTACTGTTTAACACAAATATTACTTGGCATAAATGAATATTACACGCAGTGAAAAAGAAGGAAGAATTTTCCATGTTGCATATGATTCTAATTTCTTAGAGATCCCATTGCTTCAGTTGCTGTCATTTTAGAAGACATGTTTGTGACTGAACAAACATTGAAGCATGCTTTATGAAGACTGGATAAAACCATATGTTTTCATGTGTTACTGTACTGTGTGCTCTTGCACACAGCTCTTGGAGCTTCTTGCAGTCAGCAGTTATGGACTTTCACGGGGGGTGAAGAATGGAAACAAACTGATTCACTGAAGATGGGCCCATTAGATGGGCTCCTGATAAGCAATGAGATAATGAAAAAGCTGTTTTTATTGTATGGTGAAATAAGTGGATCCAAGCCAGCAATATGCTTGTGCACATGAACATGTTCTTAATAATAGTAACAACAATAATAACAGTAGTAAACAACTTCTAAAACCAAAAATGTCTCCCCAAACCATCTTAAAAATGCACAATTCAATGCACGTGTTGGCAAAGAAGATTTTTTAAACTGAGTTGATTTTAAGAAGTTTTTGGATTCAAGTTTTAATTAGGGCAGTGCAATTATGCATTTCTTCTTACATTCCAGGACAATGCAGATATCTTAACATGTGGCAAACATTACCTGGAGACCATATTTGGATTTGTTCAAGACTCAGACAACTTCTTTATGAATAAAAAATAGATTTTGGAGTAGAGCTTCCTAAGTGTGTGACATTCACAACAGACAAAATGCTTGAAACTAAGGAGGGAGTTATTAGTTATGCCATTGACCTTTTTTAAATGCAGTTTTTCTGCATTTTTGAGAAAGTCTTTAAAGATAATTGAGGTATAACAGGCCAAAGTGGAACCACGATACAGTTCATACTGGAATGGAGCAAAAGTTCAACATGAACTCAGAGAGTTGCGTAAAAGTGATTGTTTAAAATCCTCCTCATTATCTTCGGGTTTTGTTACTCCTGTTGTCTGGAGATGGTTATCTATTGGTTGGATTCTCATTGCTTAACTCATATATTCTGAAGGAGAATTCTTTTATTTTTTCTTTCAGAAGTACCACTTTAATAACTTTGGAGAAAATTTAAAGAACCAGAATCATGCTTTGTGGATGTTTAAGTACAGTGGCACAATCAGTAGCCTAAAAAAATCCTGACGTTTAAAACTGGCTTTAAGGAAAAGGTAGTTTGGAGACAGTTTCCCAGAATCCCCTCTGTTTTTCTTTTGATATATTTTCAGGCCAGGAATAAGGCACATAGATTTTCTAAAGATCAGAAGTTCATGTGTTCTTTTGGTACTATAAAGAGCTCTATGAAGAACAGGCTTTCACTTTCCAATAGGACTTTCCAAGTCAACTGCTTGCAGTGTGCTAAGTAGAAAATTCACTCCAGTATTTTAAGAGCTGCAACAGAAATGGCTATGAATTGGCCCAAAGCCTTTTTTCGTCTGTTCTGTATTCACCTTTTTTAGCCTAGTTTGGGGTTTGTCTTTCCTCCTTCAAATTGCATATTCTAGATTCTTTTGCAAGAACAAGTTTTTTCTGAAACAAATAAATGCAAGTGAAGTTTAAAGCACTACATCATCTCTGAATGATTCCCAGTAATCATTTGCCATCTGTAAGTTTTGCTTATTCTTTTTTATCCTCTGTTAATGGCAGTGCTCAGCCATAAATGTAGGGCTTTAGCACACAGAGAATAAAATTGTTACATGAAAACAGTCTCAAACTACAGCATCCAGCCTAGATCCCATATGTCAAACGTCCAGAGAGATTCATCCCCAAGCTGTGGTTCAGGCCCATCTTGAAACAGGGACAACACATAGTTTTTATGGAAACTACCTACAGTATCATACAAACCAGCCTTTGCCTTTGGTTTCTGTGTGGGAAGAGGCATTCTCTCTAAAAGAGGAATTTCTTTCTTAACCTAACCTTTAGGGCATGATGATTATCTTCCAAGAGAAAGGTTCATTTGATGCTTTACAATTTGATTACTCTACAGTTGTTTGGAAACAGGTCTTAAACTTGAAAAAAAACCTCACAGATCAGAAAAAAGCAGGATGAAACTGAGCAGGCATATGTTGACAACAAAATCATGTGTAAAAGACCTTGCATAGCTCAGTAGTCTTTTAGAGCCCAGACTCAGAAAAGCACTTCTGTGAAGCTCTTAATGGATGCTTAAATCCCATTCACTGTCACATGTTCAGGATCCCTTAAAATACTCAGTGTTCTCAGCTCCTGCTGGTTTCACAGAAATTAAGAACTCCTTCTCTTACAGGATTGGGCCATGGATGCTTTATATAAGTTGTGATGGTGTTAGCTAAAATAGGAACAATAATTCCCAGAGCTGAAACGAGATGGCAATAAAGGAGATTAGCAATCCTGCCCATTTTTGTATGGATGCAAAATATGAAGACAACACATAGGATGGAAGCAAAAAGGAATTAAGAGCATCTACTAAAAGTGTAAAAAATGCTTGTACTTGGTAAAACCAAATGTTTGTCTTGCCCAATGTTCTGACTCCAACCATGACTTTATGAAGAAGCCTGGGGAAGAATGAGACAGGACAAGTTGGCCTTAAGCTATTTTCGGCTCAAGGAACTTCCTGGACTGTGTGTAATGTCTCAGTATTTAAAAATCCTTAATGAATTTCTTCTTCATTAACCTTGAGGAAGTATAATTCTCATTGAATCTTTGCAAACATTTAACACCCACAACATCCTTGGGAAGGAGTTTTATGGTTGTGTGATGAACCGTCTCCTTTTACTTGCTTTGAACCTGGCTCCTGCTAGCTTCATTTGGTGTCTTCCTTTATTGGAAAACACAGTGAACAAAGCAAATCCCATGTACCTCACTTGAACACCCAGGATGCTGTAGCCCTTTGTTTTATCCCCTATGCTGTTGTATGTCCTCAAGGTTGAGCTAGAGACGGAAGAGAATTCCATGTGGAAACCTCTGTAGTTTCTGTCTCTGCAAACACTGATGCAGAGAGTTCTTTTAGCCTCTCTGCAATGCCCCTGTCTTCTCTCAGTGCTCCTTTAACTTTGATCGCTAGTGGACCCAGCAGACTTCCTGCTCCTAATGTATTTGAAGTAAGATTTATTGTGAATTTTGATTCGTCTTTGTAGTTGTTCCTCAGATTCTCTTTTTGGCCTGCTTTATGGTGCTTTTGCCAAAGTTTGGAAACATGACTTAGGTGGCTGAGTTAGGAAGAGAGCTAGTTTCCATAGCTGCTTTGATGTTGCAAGAGAGATGTTCTTCCAAGAAGGTTGTTCAGAGCTTCCTCTTGCCACTGCCTATGTAATGGCGTGTCTACCTTAGAATTTTATTTCAGAACACAAGTGTGCTTCTGAGGCACATCTCACTGTTGTCATGTACTGCACTTTGTTTTTCATTGTGTTCTTGGAGCTCACGAACCAGACTCCTTTGTAGAAAACTAAACTGGAAAATGTGCTCCAGAAGAGCAGTGAGTGTGCTCTACCTTGGAGGAGGATACATAGGATAAATTGGGAGAGAAGTGGGCAAGGATTTAATTTAGTAACTCATCACTTCATTCTGAAAGGGCAAAGAGGGACTTGAGGAAGTCTATAAATCCCAGTTCTTCCTTAAAAAAACATTGATAAAGTAGACAGCAAGGTTAAAGCATACAAAATAAACCATGCCAAAATCCAACCAAGTCAAACAAGATATGGGGAGTACCTCTGCTCAGTTACATTTTTTGTGGAATATTGTCCTGTGTAAACCTATTGTAACTCTGAGAGTAAAGCTTGTTTCTGCATACTGGAGCAAATTCTTTTTCCGGACCAGTTCCCACTGTACCAAAAATGTGTCTTTAAGAGAAAGTTATTGGCATAAATCCAAATATGCGAAGTGTGGTAAAGGCACAAGCTGAAAATAGAAATCTGAGTTGTTTTGGACAGATCTCATGGTCTGGAATTTGGAACTTGTATTCTGGAAAATGGAACTTCCAAGAAAAGTGTCAGTAGTTTGGAAAATAGTTTGTTTTGGATGAGGATGAGAAGTAAAACCTCGGTATTTTCCACAGAAAAAAAGAATTGTTTCCAAAGCTGTGTTGCAGGAGAATTGCAATAGAAATACTTTAATATGTCAAGTGGCCACTTGGAAGGCTGGCAAAGGTTGGGCCTTCTTGGACACCCTTTTACACACTATGCAGCCTGTCTCTAGGGAGGTAACACAGAGAGTCTCTTGCCTCCACAGTTCCTAGGGAAAGTTGCAGGCTGAAATCAATAACAGTTTTCCAAGAAGGTGGAGAAGCAGCTGCTGTGTTAATTTTACTAACAGAAAATTGAAAATCCTTTTCTCAGAATTTTTTTATTTTTCAACAAAGGCATTTTTCAGTGGAAAGTAATTCTGATGGAAAATTCACAATGGAGCTAGTTTGTTATATCTGTTTCGGTTGTTTCTATGTTGAGTCCCATACTTGGGACAAAAATATATATTCCTCTCTTGAGTTTTGGATACTGCCCATGCTCAGAAATGAATTAGGCTTTCAGATTGGCTAATTTACATCTATTGAATTTTTCCAATCAGTCTCAACTCTGATGAACAACAGCACTTTCTAGCAGAAATTTACTTGCTGTCTGGATTATTATAAAGCTCCCAGTGTGGAGGTGTGTATGTTACTGTTACACATTTTCAGGTCGAGATCTGAATTAATATTGCTAATGATATGTGGGTGTAAATATATCTTTGTAAATATAAAGCCTAATTAGGACCAAGTCCCCAGGTGATTTAAAAATGACTTTTAATTGCAGGAAAACAGGTTTTGTTTTGTTTTGTTTTGTTTTTCAAATGAAAAATGGTAGAGAGATTTAAGCAGATAAAAAAGGAATTTAAAAATGATAAAGTGGAGCACCAGAAATATTGGCAGCAATAATCTTCCTAGGCCAGCCTGGACATGCCTTATTTTTCTTCTAAGTTTAGCATTGTCAAAAGCAAAATCCCAGAAAAGTAGAAATCAATAGTAAACTCCAGGAAACCTTTCTCATTTTGCAGATAGACTTAAATTAGAGAAAACCTTTCACATTTTTCAAGTTACCTTAAATTAGAGATTTATATGAATTCATAACAATAAAGTTATGAAAATCCTGTGTGCCAATTAGATGCATGCATTTCAGGGATGTTATAAATTTTTGACTATTTTATAATAGTCAGCTACTAATTGCCTTGTGTAAGGAGATACTTTTTTCACATGTGAAGGTTTAGGCATGTTCTGAAGTAGCTAATGTGTGGAGTGGTGGTCTATGCTTGACTGCCACACTTTTAAAGGGAAGACTAAGTGGAAAACCTATCAAATATAGCTAACAAGAGTAACTTAGATCTGACTCCTGACAGTGTATTTGCAGACTCCAGTCTGTCTAAACTCAGCAAAAGTGTTTTCTATGCAGCTTATAGACTAGGGCATGTAGGCTGTCTGCACTATATGCATTTGGAAGTTCTGGCTCAGACTAGCTCTAGCTTGGTCCCATGGATTAAATGCCCATTATTATGTGGAGCACTTTTGAGTTTGTGCCTCTGGTTCAGCTTTATACCAAGGGAATCTCGGTGGTGTGATGCAAGGCTGCTTTGTGTTGCAAACTAAAATACGGTAAATTGCAAACCAAAATAAAGTAAATGGGGACAATCAGGAGATTTACTTCAAGGGTACACTCCTGATCTGAATGAAAACAGAAATGTAGTTTCACACTTTTGTACTGAGCTACTCTCAGGTCTTTGTGAATGTTGCAAATAGGAGAGTATTTTTCCTGTAAAAAGGCACTTCCTTTAGTACCTTAAGGAAATATGCCTTTCGTCTCCGTGCTGTGATGTGTGTCGTTGGCTTTGTTCACCAAGACACTATCTGTATGTGAAAGTAAGTATTGTGAGCATAACATCGGGAAAGATGACAAGCCCAGAAATGTATTGAAAATGAGCAAAGGGCTCTTTGTTGTAGGGCTGCTGCTTCATTTTCAGAAACATTGTAATCAGGCTCTTCTGTAATGATCCCTCTCTGAAATACTTGGCATTCTTGGCTTCCAGATATCTGGAGAAACAGAAAAATGGATGTATAAAGTAGGAAAAACAACCTCATGCAAAAAACATTATAGTTTTCTTTTACAACAGGATGAAGTGAACAGAATATAGACCAGTGTTGCTTTCTGTAATAAAGCAATATTCTTTCATTATTGTTGTGGGAGGTGCAACAAACAAAATACACCTTTCCTCAGCTATGTGGGTTGCCGCAGGAGCCTTAAGACCCAGGCCTTACAGGAGTGGCCAGTACTGCTATTAAAACAACCGAGCTAAGGCCTCGTAATGGGACTGTGTGTCTGTTTTTGCAGAACAGTTATGTATTGAATAATAGCCTTAATGAGGATGATAATTTTCTTCCTTGCAGATATACTAGTGAGCTAAGCAACAATCATAAAACAATTTGTCGTGAACTAAAACCATACCCCAATTTAACAAATTTATCACTAAATCATTTTAATGATTATTTTAGAGTGGGCAGTCAAAAACAGAACAACAGAGCAGCATAAGAAGTAATTTCAAAAGAAATAAAAAAAATAAAAATTTTCAAGCTCTATATTGTTTGTGCATTCATCTAAGCCAGGTGACATGAGTGAAGTCATCCATTTCCTGAGGAAATGAAGTCTCACTTTATTGAGGTTGCTGCTAAACTTACTTACTAAATTCTTACTTAACTACCAAGTTACAGCATAAGAGTAAACTTCTTACACACGAGTTCTATGACCCAGCGTAGTAGGAGCTGAAGGAAATGGCCTGAGGCAGAACCAAGGCCAGATATACTTAAGGCTTTATATAGAAGTTTATAAAAGCTGGCTAACCCTGACACAAAAGAGAAGCCAACGTAAAGTGTGTCAAGTAGGCTGCTTTGGCCGTGGTGGTTCAGCACTATTCCAGGCTAACTGCGAATGGCCAGCCAGCTTCTCTGTTAACCCAACAAAACCCAGAATTACATGCATTTCTGGTTCCCCGAAGTCTCAAGACTGGCTGCCGTGTAATGAATGCAAATGTCACTTCCACAAGCCATCTAGCTGTAAAAAACAGTTCTGATTCGTGATGTTGTGTGGATAAAGCATCACCACTAATAGAGCCAGGAATTTTAATGACACACATCCATTCAAACTGAGCAAAGATAAGGGAAAGGCAAGTCCTCCGCTAATATTTCGGTTTTCTTGGAGCTGAGCAAGCATAGCAATGCCAGTGGTGAGGCACTGTGAATTCTCACAGTTCAGCATTTGTTTAAGTAATTCAGGGCACTGAACAGGATCCCTGACAAGATGCATATTCCCCAGCAGAGGCTGAGTGCATCTATTTATTCTCCATTTGTTCTCCAGGCAATTTTGTTTCTTTTATTCATGTTATTGAAAAGAGAAACGGGACTGAATCTCCTGTGTGTAGCAGCACTGAAGTCAGTCAGATTACACCCACATCAGATCAGAATCGGATCCATAATTTTTTCCTGTCAAACAGTCGCCCACTCACCCTGCATTTGGAATTACGCACTGAGGAAATTACTGGCCTAGGCCATGCTGACTTGTTTGACTATGAACCAAGCTTAGCAACTTGGGTAGACAAAGAGTACAAATTAACTAGCAGGAGTCTTTTAATGATCCAAACTGTAACAAATTAAACAGGAGGAGGTATAAATTACCATAGGATATTTACAGCCTTGTTAACAGAATTGAAATGAGATGTGAGCTAAGAAGTGCCATTTTCTGGACGGAACAGATAAAAGATAACTGTTTTAAAAATCTGTATAGCAGTATACATAACCAGAGGGAAAAAGGACTTTCCTGTAAAATCTGTAATAGATCCCCAGTGACGTGTAAAATTCTAGAATTAGAATTGACCCCAGGAGACTTCAGTAGTTTTATACATTAGAAGTTCCACAGCCACAAGCTAAATGGGAATAAAGAGCCAAGCTTAGTCTAAGATTTCCTGGTGGGTTGATGGCATCTCATAATTCACAAGAAATCTCAAGTTAAGGAGCTGATTCATAACTTAAGCAAGACAATTTAGTACTAGAATACATACCAAAGTAAATGAATGAAGACTTCCATTTGGACTCACCAAGTTAAAGTAGACTAGTAAGTAGCCTCATAAATTACAAAACTATTATCAATTTTTAAATGTTTAATATTTAATTTCATTGCATCTGGTGCACAGTGGTCCAAAGGACAGATTTCAATCTAATTAAATTCACTGACAAAAACTCCCATTAAACAAATCCTAAATCCCAGTGCCCTTGTGAAGAGAAAATTCCTGGTGAAACTGATAGAAGCTTTCACTGATTATTACCTGCCCTTTATAATTTAGCTAACTAACTTCACTGGAAGATGTATCTGATAATTCTCTTCAATGCGATAAACCATTTTATTCAAAATGGCATATTTTATTAGATCTCATGCATGTCATTATCAGTTACTAGCATAATTCTAAAACAATGTAAAGAAAGCCCAAACAAAAAACACCATGCTGTTGACTGTGATACTTTTGTTTAGCCTGATAAACAAAGTTGTTATCCTATTAGCAGGATACCTCATGAAACATATAAATATAAGGCCCCCATTTATTTATGGCCCAATTATAAAATAATTATCTTTTATGTGTTGAGATTTATGTGCACATTTAGAATACTTTACATTTTTAAAAAATGCGAAGGTGTGTACTTCTCTTCAGTAAGGACAGTTCTCTGGTATTTCTCACCAGTTGATTTTGGAGAGCTGTACGAGGGAAGTCAATATCTGCAGTTTCCTTTTACAGAGGATAAGAGACCATCTCAAGGTGGTGCTTATGCAGTTGGAGAGAGTTAACAAGTCTATATCTCCTAAGTACCAGTTTAAAGTTCTGCCCAAGTGACCAGAATGAGGCATGTGAAACAAGTTTGTCATGTTCCTAGGTTGGGTCTGTGCTTTGGTTTTCTGTGAAAGTATTTTCTGTTGCTGCACAGAAGGTACAGGTTATTTTCACTACAAGGATTTCCTTCTTCCTTTTTAAAAGGTGAGGGGGGTGGGGGTTTTTGGTTGTTTGGTTTTGTTTTTTTTTTATTTTGGATTAATAGTAATATGGGTATTTCAAAGAGCAACAAACCTGACCGTTAATTTTGGTTTTACAAGCAGCCGTGCTTTTAGATCATTGTAATTCTTTCATGGATTTACATAGACCTTGGCAGCCTTAACTATAAGATTCTGGATGTGCATGCAGAACTTAGCTGAGAGTGACGAGAGCAAGCATACATGAAAGGTACACTGAAAAATGAGCTGACATGCACAGTTGTAAACATCCTTCAGGGATCATCTGCTGTGTTCAGAGAGGTGTAACTGGGCCTGGGATAGTGATGGGAAAGCTAAGCCGGTTCTTTCCTTTCTTTGTCCTGCAGATGGAAAAATGAACAAAATTAAATGGATTTTGACATGGCCGTTAATGTTCTTGCTCTTCTGCACCATTCCAAACTGCAGCAAACCACGCTGGGAGAGGTGTTTTATGGTGACATTCATCTTATCCACTCTCTGGATTGCCTTGTTCTCATACTTCATGGTGTGGATGGTAAGTGCATGTAGCAGGACTTCCCATACTGAGTGAAATGTGCATCTCAAAATAGATAATAGATCTTTTGTGTATTTGTTAAAGAAAGGTATGTAATTGTAGTGCAGTCCCTTCAGCTCATACTCTAATTATTGTAATTCTAGCTTTCTGCTGCTCTTTTCTGCACAAATAATTGGGCCTTTACTGTATAGGGCCCAATACAGTAAAGGAAGGTTCCAGCTTCATTTTCAAGAGAATGTGGACATCCACATCCTACTAGTAAAAGGGAGTTTAAATGAAAACGTTTAACTTTCAGCAGCTCAGACACCTTTAGAAACTTGGCTACAGGGCCTGATAATGAAACACGCATAAAAGGCAGATAGATGGCAAAATTTGAAGACTCAGAAGTGATGTAAAACACCTCGAGTAGACTGGAATAATGCAAGAAAATCCTTCTTAGTGAAGGGTATTATGATTACTGGTATTTGCCCTACATCTGTGAGAAGCAGTGCATCAGGTGTAGATCTGTAAATTGTTGTCAATTCAGGAGCATGCTTACTTGAAGATTTGAATAAGTTCCTATTTTTTCTTTCTTACTCTTTTTCAGTTTCTCAAGTTTACATTTTCAGTCAGAGAAGAGGCATGAATAGGAAAGCTCCTCAAATAGTTTCTGTTATGGAAAAGTTAGCCATACTTTTGAAGTATAGAAAGTTACTTTTTTTCTACACTAAAAGATGGAAAACTAAGAAGTTTTATATGCCTATAACTGGAAGATTGGTAGGATGTGCTGCTGAAGAATTTATATGCCCATTTTTCCTTTCAAACGAAAATATAGTGAAGAAACCTTCAGCTGGTCTCACACTGGAATATATATATTCTCACATATATACATTCATAGTCATATATATATATATACACACACACTCTTCTAGTCATGCATATGGAAGAATTTTTGTTCATGAGCTTCTTACCTGCAAAATCTTTTTTGGGTAGAGAACATCTCTACCTTCCACAAATGTGTCAGGTGTTTGCGAACTTCCTTATATTTATGTTTCCTCTCATGGAAGACTGTGTTTTCTATATACTTTTTGCAACTTTCTATATAAGTTTTGCATTTTAAAGTAATCCTCTTTTCTCTTAATGTAGATTGTGTTGGAGAAATTCATATGGCAGCCACTCATTCTGCCTGGCATAATGGTGCCAAAGCCACACATTCATTTCATACCGTCTGTCCTTTGCAAGGCCACGCTCTGTACCTTGGTTCCATTTGTAGATAGCCCCTTCACAAATGAGAGATGGGCTCATGAAGGCTGCAGCACAGCTTATTTTAAGAGGCAGCCAGACCTGAATACCCCGTTACCACTTGCAGCAGGAGAATCATGCCCCACTCCTATTTCTGAGCCACAGCTTGCCCCTGAGAATAAGGTTTGTGAGCGGGTTCCTAAAATACACCTTTTCTTTGGCAAAGGGTCCAGTTTTCCTCATGTAAGAGCCTGGCAAACTGTTTCAAGAAAACAACACAGAGCCTTAAAGACTTCCACCCTTATCAGTCTCAGCAGGGAAGCAGCTGCCTGTCCCTGATTCAGTCTTCTCACTCTCACAAGGCTATTTCCTTTTCAGCTGCCTGTTCAGCCTTTTTTCTTGACGCTTTTTCAGCCTTTTTCAGATGTTCCAGCTAAATACAGTTCCCTGTCCTTTCCAAGAGCTCCGCTACAAGCTTCAGCCATTCCCTAAGCTCTTTTAAAGCTGCATCTGGACTCTCAGGGGACAGTATAACCAGACTTTCTCACCTTGGGATTATATCAGAAGTCACACAAGAAACTAGTTCCTTCTTCACGTGTTGGGATAAAATAAGTTCTTTATATCTCTGCCCCTGTATCACAATATAAATTGGTTGCAGTCCTTCTGAGAATAGAACCAGTGAGAATCTTGCCATTCTTGGGAATAAAACCCCACAGGTTGGATTATGTCTGTGCTCCTCCTTAAAAGATCAGTATGTCCTGTTAGAAGTACAGAAAATGGAGCTTTTTGTTCGCTCATGAAATGGTAAATAATATGACCCAAAGTAGTTTTCCTTTTCACAGGGTTGGTTTGAGGCTGGTTAGTCCACAATTATTTAATTTGCACACATGGATAATTATCCTGAGTCTGATCCTGTTAGCGTCCACACCAGAAGTCAAAGTTAAGAATATGCCTACAACTGTACTGGAATGAGGAGACTTTCCAAATATGATAGGTTAATTTATTTTCCTCACTGTTCAGGTGACTGTGGTTGGATACACCCTTGGGATACCAGATGTGATCATGGGCATTACTTTCCTAGCTGCAGGAACAAGCGTCCCAGACTGCATGGCCAGCTTAATAGTAGCAAGACAAGGTACTGTGTCTGCTGAAGCATAACTGCAATCTTACATACATGCTCTGTGATTTGCTTCCTCCATACACACAAATTCTCAATGCAATTTTATTCTTTTTTTCTTTTCTTTTTACTGTTTCAGGGCCTCGTTAAAAGCCAAAATACTTTGCTAATTATTGTGAACCAAAAAAATAATCCCTGTCCTGTTATCTTTTGCTTATGGGGACTGGGCACACCCTAGCATTCTAGAAGGTCATTCAACACTCAGATATCCCATGCATGGTATGTATCAGTCAGGGTAAAAAGATAAAAGTAGTAGACAAAACTGGAATATCAGCTATTAAAAACTACATCAAAGAACATATGCTGACCAGCACTTGTCCATGTAAAACTTGTACTGATTTCTAGAAGACCTCTCAAACCCAGGGAAGTGAATTGTTTTAAGAGGATCTGGCAGAAGTGATGTTGCTCCAGGCATACGTCTCATCCAAATGCAGACCTCTTTCCCATTGGGACATATGAATAGCCACACTGGAAAGGGTTTTAGATAAATTTCAGCTATGTCCTCATCAGCTTTCCAATTGAAATTGTCAAAGGCTTTCTCATGTATCTTTAAGTTTTGATTAAGGTTCTTTACATTTCCTTTTTTACTTGAGAAATACCTGTAGCCACATCCTTTCCTGTTGTTGAAAAACATTAAACCTGACAGTGTGATCTCCTGTACTGCAGTAGAATAAGAAAAGGTCCTAATTGTATTGTTTTCCACTATTTCAATTCCCGTAGTCTTTTTTTTCTAGATAATGAGATCTCCAACACACATCATTGGGCAAACAACAAGGGTTCTGAAGTGATAAATTGAGTACTCAAAAGCTCCACCTTTGTAGTTTGAGATAGGAGTAGTGCTGTTAAATGTTGCTTGATTGAAAAGAATTATATATTTAAAATATTTCATTATCCAGGTTGTATCATTTGTTGTGTGCAGGAAAATCTTGCAAAAAGCAGTACAAAAAAGTATTTGGGGTTCTTATGGAACCACCTTCCTACTAAATTAGTTTTCCATATGTAGTATTAAAGTGAGCAGATTTTTGCAAGCACAGAAGGAAAACATGTTACATTTTTAAATGAACAGACTGCTTCTTTAGATTACTTCTTCTTTAGTATTAGGAAAAACTACTGTAGGGATTGTTTCCTCTGAAAGTGAACGTAAGCACTAGCTTGGCAAAAAGCAGCCCTATTCTCTCAAAGGCAGTACAGGGACTTTGCGCTACTTGGATTCAAGAGGAATGTTTACTGACAGATTGCAGACAAATATCTAAAAAGTAGGGATGGACACTGCCATAATATGGATCCAAAGCATCACTTTTCTCTCAGCAGCTTCCTGCAAGAAGATACTGTACTTATGGTGTGGTAGTGTCTGTCTCCACTCTGTGTACTCTCAAATTATTCGTGGGACATCCCATTTATGTCAGAGTTCCTCTTCCTTTCCAGTATTCACTTTGTGGAAGTGATTCAATAGTTAGGCCAGTGCCCAGGGGAAATTAGCAGGGGCAGAGACGAATTCTGCCTTCCTCACATCCATTGACATTGGTGCAGAATGAGATGCCAGCCACTGATGAGCATTGGGAGTAGATTTTGAGTAATGCCTAGGGACTTCACCACCATTCACTCTTCTTTTGCTTTCCTGTAGCATTTTATTGTTCCTGAAGTGAAATCATTGCTGATTAAGCCCCACAGAAGTGCTTAATATCTTTGACTACCATCTGCTTGGGTTCTTTTCAGGATCACTTTTCATCATTCACATGAGATAAAGGCCACGTGTCTACATACTAAATCCAGCACATAATCTCCAGGTTCCCTGTGGCTGCAGACTACGTAGAACAAGACTTGTTTTTTTAATTGGCATTGGACTTGCATGCTGAATAGATACTACACACCCAGTAAAGGCTCCCTATGTCAGATACTCTGGCCACTCCAAGGGGGCTTGGATCAATGCAGATCATTCCTCTTTAGTTTCCTCTAGTACACAGAGTAATGGTCCTATACTTTGTTTTTACCCAAGACTTTTTTTTTTTTTCTCTCTGCAGGCCTCGGTGACATGGCAGTATCCAACACAATAGGGAGCAATGTCTTTGACATTCTGGTGGGCCTTGGCGTTCCATGGGGTTTGCAGACCATGGCGATTGATTGTGGATCAACTGTATGTACACTTAGCAAATCTTTAATTTGTTCTTTTTGTCTATTTTAAAAAAATATCCTAAAAAGAAAGCATGCAAATAAAGTTTTAAAAAACCCAACAACCTGCTGAGCATGTTATTGGTTCCTAAATAAGGTGTTATTTCTTTGCCAAGGAACCAGGAGTTAAGGAAGTAATTCTTCTTCCACTAGCCACAATTAATTCCGCTTTTGTCAACTGGAGTACATTATACTGTATAGCAGAAAAATAGCGCCATGGATATCTGTTCATGGCTCTGTCATTTTCTCACTACACAGCTTCAAGCACACCTCTCTGTGTCCTTGTACCTGTCTCCCTATTTTTGTCTGTAAGATGAGAATAACAGCATATCTCTCTCTCATGAGGATCTTTTAACATAAAATCCATTATAAATGCTGATTTTTTTTTATGGAGGTGGAGTTACTTATACATTTGTTTTGATTCCTTACTCTTCCTGTTCTTCATTTTGATAAATTTGTCGTGGATTTGCATAGCTTAAAATGCGTAAGTAAGTCAGTCACTATTCAAAACAGAAGGTGGACCATAAATCAGTAAATCGATTTCTGATCTCCAAAGCACGGTTATTATATGCTGAGCATTTTAAAGGTCTCTTCTCTAATTCCCACAGGTTAAGATAAACAGCAAAGGACTGGTCTATTCAGTTGCACTTTTGCTAGGATCAGTGGCACTTACTGTAAGTATTTGAGTGTCCCCAAGTATTCCAGTTGCAAAATACTTACTAGGTATTTACATGTTACGGAATAGAAATACTTATTATCCCTGAAGCATTGATTCTTGTAAAGTATCATTCTTCTAGCAATACTATGAGTTGAAGAGCTACCGTTGTCCTCAGTGAGGACTGAAATCTGACGTTTGGTGCAAGAGATGCTGGATACATGTAGGTCCCATTGATTTCAGTGGCAGTGTTGAAATTGTGGGATCCAGTAATACTTCTGTGCGCCTGTGTCCAGCTGCATACCCCAGGCCTGTCTCTACTTTATGTTGGGACAAGGCCCAGGTATGCTTCATCACCCTTCGCCCTTGTCTCTGATTTCCAAAACCAACCTGGACTAAACAAGTGCTGTAGCCAAAACCCTTAATGAAGACTAGTCTGTGAGGACTGTGAACCTCAGGACTTGGAACAGGCATGCTAAATGTCACTCAGCATAAGACACTTACCCTTGTAACACATGCCTTGTTAAGGTGAAATAATAATTCTGTTTCAAAAGTCAGTTTTGCTGGTACTTAAGGTCTGCTCCTGCTGACTCCCAGGGAACCCTCTGTGGGAAGAATCAAATACCAAAGGTATAAAAATATCCACTTATACTAACATCTTTCACTGATTGCCTATGGAGGTTCTGTAGAGGCTCTGTAGAGGAGGGGATCATCACTGGAGATTTCACATTGTTGCATGACTAGGTCTTACAAAACTCCACATCACCTGTGCATGACTTAAGTGATAGAATGACCAGAGCTGTTCACTCTGCCGCTAACTTCCTAATGCATCTGATACATAAGCCGTGGGAGCTTATTCTTTTCTTTTCTTATCCCTGGTTCTGCCATACTGCACAGTGTCTGTGAAACAGCAAAGACGTTCTGTTCCCATTTGTATGTGATGTTGCTGCATGCAAATTGGTAATCAGCACTTTGGGAAAAAATGGGAGGATTATGGAGACGTGTTACTATGCTACCTGTTCATGCTTTTCTGAAAAGATTCTTTTCATAGCAGAAGCCGTATCACCTGAGTTCGAAGCATTTGTTATTGTCTCATTTGTTCTGCTGGATACCCTGATTTGCACAGACCCTCCCAGCAAAACTCAGTGGAGACTTTTGAGCAAAATAAATAATAATTCAGAGGCACTCAACACCATTGAAAATAGATGCCTTTGTGAGGGCTTCATTGCTTTGCTACCTGTAACTTGTAACTCCCCTTAGTTCTGGAGCTGAGCAAAACATCAAAGAAAGCACCTCTTCTGAAGCTGTTGAAAGAATGAACATTAGGTGCTGGTGTACTACTGGGACATAAAGGATCTGTAGGGGAACACTGGAAGGAGAGGCATTCATGTAGTTCAGTGCATTCCTTTAGTTCATACTGAATCAATGAATGAGTGCTGCCTGACTAGAATGTGCCCCATGTACTGAAAATGCACCACAGACTGACACCAAGCACCTAGGGGCCTGTTCCTCAGTTACATGAAGAACTTGTGAAGAGGCCTTAAAGTGGGTTCATTTAATATTTTGTAAAAGGATCTTAGGACAGCTGCGAGTCAGGCCAGAGTTTGAGTTCTTAGTTTGGGGTTCCTTTCCTTGATCAGGAAAACATACGTTGCCTTTTTGGTCTATAAAATACTGAGAATATATCTTTATCTTCATTCAGAATCTCTAATTCAAAAGACTCTCATTTTTAGCTTATAATGGTTGTTTCCAAAAGTCTCCTTTGGGGCTTAATTAACAAACACTTTGTTTGCTTGCAGGTGTTTGGAATCCATGTAAATAAGTGGAAGCTTGACAGGAAATTAGGCATCTACGTGTTGTTTCTTTATGCTGTTTTCCTGTGTTTCTCTATATTGATAGAGTTTAATGTCTTCACCTTTGTCAACTTCCCTATGTGCCGAGAAGAACTTTAGACCACAACAAGGAGAGACTGAAATTCTTCTGATTACATGTGCTGTAAATGACAGGAGGCATTTCACATTTCTACCTTCTTTCCATCAGTAATTTGAGTGTTGTTCCTGCTTCATCAGCTAACAAGCACTTTTACCTGGGTGGAAGGAAAGCACACCTTTCTTTTAACATGCTAGCTCAAGGCAACCAAAGCATTTTCCTCCTCTTTGGATATTGCTGCTCAGTCATAAAGCTGTGTGGATCTTATGCAGAACTCTAAAATGACCCATTTCTGGGACATTCTGTTGTGGTTTTCATTCTCCTTTTGCAGACAATCAACCACCACCACCAAGGTTAGCAAGAGGATGGGAGAAATATCTTTATAGTTCTTCTGGTTTTGACATTTACTTTCCATGGAAGAACAAGAGGCAAGTTCGGAACTTTTCTTGGCTCAGTCAAAATATCTCAACTACAGGACCAGAAAGTCCAAGGCACATATCATGGCATGCACTGTTGAGGACATCATTTCCCCCTTCAAGTGCTCTGCTTATAGAGGAACTGCACTGACAGTTTTTGATGGCAGTGTTGAATATTTATCACTCTTGTCAATGAACATGAACAATGTGGCAGAGAAAGAAGAGGAAATGGTTGTATGTTGTATCACTTGTGATGATGCACACTAAAAGTCAAGAGTATCTGCATATTGAAGAAGAGAAGTACATGCAGGAAGTCATACTTGAAAAATATGTTTTACCATTAATGAGGAATGCTTTATACATAAATATAAACTAACATTTGTGGAATATTACACCACAAGAAAAACTTTGCATTGGCCCTTGTAAGCCCATTGTGTAAATTTAGAAGAAACTAAACAAATAAAATATAACTGGGTGCTCAGTAACTATCAGTTATTCTAATCAGCTGAGAGTAGTATCTGAACATAATCCAGACTTTCTGACAACAAAACCCACCCTGATTATGATTTGATTTTATTGGTGGGGGGAAGAAGCTTATTTCATCAGTCAAGAAGCTGATGTATTCTCCATTTTTTATTTATTCCCAGAAGCTTAATGAAGATGAGCATCTGACACTGAGCAGTGCAGATAAGAAACACCTAGACAAAAGCAAGTCTGTTAAAAGAATATGGTCCTTGATTTGATTGCATGCAAGTGTTGAAGCATGATATACTTCTTTTTAACCCCCAGTAGAAGCCAAGTTTTTGTATCCTTTCCACCAGCATAAATCTGATACAAGGAATTACTCTGGATGTAATTGACAGCAAGATCTGGCCCAGAGTACTAAAAATAATGGGTAACATTCCACATTGTAGCAGTCATATGATTGCAAATCACTGAGACAGCATATTTTGAATTGCTACTAAACTTTAAAAATATTTTAAAGCTGTATGTGAATGATCACATAAAGTTTCTAAAGAAGCACAGTTAACTTTATACATAGATTCTTTTAATTTTTTAATGTTTATAAACCAAAACAAATCTACCAACCTACAGTTGATGCATTTTTAAATATATTAATATTTTGCACTTAAGGCTATATATAAAAAATCCCATTATTGTGTCAGTGAGAACATACTATAAAACCTTAGCAAATAAGCACTAAATCAGAAAGTTCCCTATGATGGAACATATATGACAAATAATTCTGTTTAGCCAGCTCACATGCAGAATACTGTTTACACCAGGCAATGTGTTTACAATTAAGGCTATTTTTAAAATTATTTTGGTACGAATTAAGGAGTGTATTCTGCTGTTGAATTTTTTTAGGAATTTGATCCTTTCAATGTAATCCTAAGGAAAAAAGAGCAACGTATTTGTTATTTGCTTTACACTTTGTTACAAATGTCAGTATTAGTATCCATTTAGGGTTTTTCACCTTAATTAAGTAGTTATGTAGTTAAACTAGCCAGTCCTAAAGATGGCAACAAATACAGCATTATTACAATGCTTTATTGAACAGGCAAGCATGACAGTAAGCACGTTTGATCTGAAGTATGCTGGTGACCCCATTTCCAGGCATTCAAGGCATTTTTGCTGCAGTGTAAAGGTGAGGAGATGGAATTCATGTTCATCTTTATGAGTCTTCTGTTGCAGAAAGGCTGTGAAGATGCAGCATACTGCTGCGCCACTGTAGGAGCATCCCTGTCTAGTCTTACTCTCTTCCCTGCTATCTTTTCAGGAGGACAGTTGGCTGCTGAAAAATCTTGTGATGGCTTAGATAATGAGGCTGAAAGGAGCAGAGAGAGAGGCTGAGTAAATTTTTTTTTTCCTATGTTCTGCTGTGGGGTGGGCTTGGAGAACTAGCTATCTCCAAGCAAACATTTGCTCTTCTGTGCACAGTTCAGGCAGCTCAGATGTCTTTACGCTACAGAAGAGTGGTTCCAAAATCTAGTTTTGAATGCCTAGTCATCAGCTGAGTTGACAGTGATGAGGGCATCAATGTTTACAGTGCCAGACCTAGCAAATTGTACTGTACCTTCATATTTCTGAGCCAGGCAACTTTAGAAGACTAGGGGCACCAATTTGTTCTGTAGCTAATATGTCCAAATATGCATGAAATTGTGTTTGCTAATGCCATGAATCCTTCAGACATCGTTTAGAATTATTCTGCCTAAACTGAATATCACCTGCTCCAGAAAACCAGAGTGTTCTGTTGTAGCAAGGGTCTCAGAAGGTAATGCTGACCTTAAATTGCATGGCTGGTCCTGTCATCTATAGCCCTCCCTAAAACACAGACCCAGTTCAGGACAATTTATATTGCATTCTAATGTTGCATTTCATGAGGTGGTCTCATATGCATCTTCTGCTATGAGACAGGTATCATGCCATGCTTATCATTATAAATAACATTAGTAGGATTATCCTCTGGCACCACCACATGACCAGGGATGCATTGTTTGCCAAAGAATTATTAGATGCTCTATCAGGGCATTGATGACACATAATCATATGAAGTAGTTTAAAGAGTACCTATGTATTTGTTATCCATACGCTAAAATAAATAAAGATGGCAGTTATAGACCAAGCCATGCAGATAAACTGAATGGCCCAAGAAAGATCTGATTGACATATTGTTGTATGTCAGATAAGCCCACATCAGAATGTATCAGTAATTCAGGAGGCTATTGCTGAGTAATAGTGGACTAGTGCCTTTCACGTGTATGCAGAAAAAAAATAATTTGCTCATGTGGTCAGGAAACCACTATAAATTTTGCCATTTTCCAATCAAGAAAAGGAGTGATTTGTGCTTGGCCCTCTGCAGTTAGTACAGTTCTATATTGCAGCAGTTCAGATTGTGTCTGTAAAATTTTGTAGCCTTTTTGTTGTACTAACCATTGCAAAAGTTAGCTGTCTGAGTTTGGAATGTATGTGACAATGTTGTGTAAGTTAATGTTCAGCTCAAGAGTGAAAAGAAAGCTGGTGGATGTGAGAGGGAAAACTGTTGCTGTGATCTGAAAATTGCCAGCATACTAACACTGAAAAGTAATACAACTCAGAAAAAGATATCCCATATCCAGCAAAGCTTAACTTCAGTAGGATTGATTCCATGTGTAAAGCTACACATTTATCCAAGTGCCTTGCTGGATTGTGTCCTAAGATGATAGCAGAGCATGGCTTCTGGGTTTTCTATCATATTCAGATCTTTTCATATTTTATTGGTTTTGTAGTCTAAAGATTTTATTTCCGTCTCAAATTAAAAGGTTTGGCCAGAATGTGTGGACTTCTGCTCTGCTGATACCACTTTGGATTTCCACTCTTGTAAATAAGAGAACTGGTTCCTTGTCTCAGACTTCAAAACTGTACATCTGCCCTGGTGTACAAGCAGGATCAAAACTGAATTACAGTTGGCCAAGGAGAGCTTTTAGGAGCTCGTTTCCACTGCAGTTCCACTGGAGTAGCACAGTGCCACGTAGACCCACAGGGTGCAGTCCTGTCTGTAGTGAGCAAGTGGGAGTGTTTCCGTTGAGTTCAGCAGTGTTTGATTCCATTTATTTACCATAACAATTGTACTGCATTATAAAGTATTGCCCAAGTAAAGATTTCAGGCTTAGGATCTCCATGTCTAAATCTAAAAAACTACAGTTATGGTTATCTTAATGACTATTTGATGATCTAAGGGCTGCTTTCTGGGCTGAAGTCTAGCCTAGAAGAACACCTTAAGTCTTCCCAACAGGTACAGCATAGTCAACCATCTTTCTCCTGGCTCAGTTATTGGCGTGCCAATTTTATTTTATTTTTATATGCTTGCTGCAGCTGTAACAAACATAATTAGTTTCTGGGTTTAGATTATATTTGTAAACATTCTGTCAACATATAAACAAATGGAAAAGGTCTTTGCTAGTCTAATACTTAGCAATTATAGAGAAGATTTTATTCTGTCTTTGATTTCCTTTGTGACTGTGCTTTAATTACACACACTTGTTTCTATTATGTGTTTGCTCTAGTTGCACAAATCCCTCATGAGTTTGTTGTCTTCCTTTCTTGGATTTCTTGCAATTGTAATGCCATTTATTTGCATCGTACAGTTAGATGGTTTTGGTAGAGTGCTTTAAGCTGTGTAAATACTGCCTGATTATTCATGCCAAGGAAAGATCAGACCTAATATAATATAAAACAGACACTAAAATAACACTGATAGCCAAGTGAAACCAAAGAATCTTCCTAATTGAAATGCATCGCCTTTGAGCATAATGTTCTGTCATTGCAAGCCTCAGATCTCTCAGTTATTTGTGTTTAATCACTCAGAAGAAAATCTCCGCAGCTCATGCATTTACTACACAATTTCCTTTCTATTTCTTTGAGTCTGAGCTCCAGATTTTTCATTTTGTTGGGTAGTGAGAGTTATATGATGGTTACACAGGTAAATGACAGCATTTAGTTCCAGAAATTCTGTACCAAACCCTTTATTTTTCCCTTGAACCATTTTGAAAACTCTGTATGCAAGTGATGAATGTTCTGCTGAAGAGAAGAATGTCGTTCAACTGACATGTGCATTCCAGGTTCGGACCTACTGTGTACATGTTTAAAAGCCTCCTTTTGAATAACTTGAGCATACACTTTTCTCACATTTCCCCCTGTGTGGGGTCCTAATATTTTCTTCCCTGAGAAAGCTGTGAAATCCTATACATCCCTGTTCTGAAATGTGAGATACATGTAGCTCCTTCTCCACAGGCTGAGATGTGTAGTGATTGTGGCAATTTGTACATCATGTTGTTCTGCGTGCTGC